GTGTGAGGGTTAGAGTTGGGGGGTTGGTATATGGTAATACGTCCAAAGTCTTGTTAGCGTCTGCCATACCAGGATCGTCATCGCCCTACCCACCAACACAGGGAGTTGCAACAGTTCCCGCTCCCCTCCTTCACACACTAGTTGCTTGACTGTCAATAGCTGTCTAGTCGCGCCAACCGATTTAGTCTGACAATTTCACTTTCTCCTCTGTTTATCTCGTCTGACGATGGGTTGCTGTCACCAACTCGAAAATTCACGAGTACGACTGACTTTTCCGACGAGCCTTCTATCTTCAACATACTAGGGTATTACGTGCGGAAGGAGGATAAACCAATTAATTGTAATCTGTGTTCGCTATTATTCGTCGTTATATTCCACTTCTGGGACATTCTCTTTGGCGTGTGCTGTTATATTCAGTCCTAACCAACTGCCATTAGACGTCCCCCTCTTCGGCATGTTTGATCGGCACTGAAATCCGTTTTATTTTCCGTATAGTGTCCTTTAATCATTCATAAGATAAGTATGTTTATTTTTAAGGGTGTCCTTTCTTTTATGCCGTAAAACGTCCAAGAACTAGGGGGCGGCTTCTGTTTAACACGTCATATCAGGCTAAAATTTGCGTTAGTTCAGTAATTCCAGACTTTTATGGGCTAAAATAAATCCTTCCGTCAGATATATCGCCTGAAGGGGACGGTTTTCCCAAAATGTGCTAAAGTGCTGACTTTTGCAGATAAATAGGCGCAGAAATATAATTTACTTTCCACAGGCAGAGCACATCAACTGACAAAAATTCAGACGGTAATTTACGCATCCATCACATCCACCGTGCACACCCCCACACCCGCTCCATCCGTCCGCGCCACCACCACCACCACCACCACCACCACCACCACCACCACCACCGGCCCCTCTGTAGCTGACACTGACACCGCCGACTTCTCATGCCAACACTGTCCACGCACATTCACCTCACGCATCGGCCTGGTCGGTCACTTGCGAATCCATCGCACAGAGACTGGCGAACCAGTGCCTGGAGCACCAACCTATACCCACCACGATCAACTCAACTGCCCACACCGCCGTCGCACCTTCAGGCATCGCATGGGCCTATTCGGCCACATGCGCATCCACGACGACCTGCGGTAGACAACCGCCGGCCACATAACACATTCACTCACTCCCTACCTCCCATCACCACCACCCCACTAGACATCAACACTCACACACCTCATGTACCCAACTGCCACCTCCCACGCAAGTGGGAAGTGTGCATCTCGACTCGGTCCCCATGCGGCCTCGGCTGCACGGGTGACCTGAGTTCGAGACTATCCCGACACGTCAAGCGTCGTGGATAGAAGGGTTGCTGGTTGACGCCTGCTCTCGGTTCACGCAGTTCGTCGCGTTGTATATGTGCGTTGCGTGGAGTGGCGGACTCGTGGGCTCAGGACGGGCTGAAACAGCACCTTCCACGGCCCTCACGCAAGTGAGAGACAAGCCGCTCAACCCCCGTTGTGTGAAATCCTGGTGTTGTGTGTGTGGGGGGCCAGGTCTTGCCGTGGCGCGCGCAGTCATGGTCAGTCGACCATGACAGCCACCGCGCCCATTTCCCACTCCAGTCTGCTGACTGGCTCGGACAGCGGCTGGGGTGTGGGAGTGGGAAGGGAGAGTGAGGTCGACGACTCAGCGCACTTTCTCCTCACTATAAACAATCTGACGCGCTTGAAGCTATCACGGTGCGCTAAAAGCCGTGGCTTGGAAGGTTGCCAACTGACGGGGTATCTTGGACCTCCTCCTTGACCGGAGGCGGTCTGAGAGTCAGGCTGCAATGGCTCCTTTTTAATGTGGCCCTTATATCACTCCCATCACCCTGTGGGATCCGAGTCAGGCGTTGGCGGCACGCCTAGGTGCGGCTTCGGTCGTGCCAGTCTCCAATCTCTGTTGTGCTGGTTAAAATCCTGGTTATTTATTGTGTGGACCAGGGGGTGTGGTGGAACGCCAAGGTGAGGATCCGTCCGAGCCATCGACCTGCGGCCTCCCTCGTCTCCGGTCTTCTTGACTCTGTCTTGACACCGGGCTCAGGCGGGGGAGGAGGAGAGAGTGTAGGTAGATGCAGCGCAAGTCTACTGGCTCTATAAACCCCTGCGCAAGTCACCGTCCCTGCTCCCATAATGCTGTGGGGCACACGGTGGACATCATCGAAATCGATGGTCGAACTGTCAATTTACGCAGATGGCTCGAAATAATATCAGTCCAGAGACAGCATTTTGCCTTGTTCGGATTACATGTGAACCATGCCACACGGTTAGCTTCTCTGCCTGATGGCATATCTGAAGTACGAGCAGTGTTTTATGCATCGTGGAGAAACAGTCATCACACCAAGTTCAACAATTCCTGATGCAGCCCCTTGTGAATGCACCACTCGTATCTGCAATTGTCTCTGACGATGGGTCCTAGCAGGAATCCGAAAGGTCAGGCGAATAAAGTTCTTGTCCCAGCGATCTTGTCTCCTTCTTCACGACTGCTTCCTGTGACTCGTCTTTTTGCTTCTATGGGCAGAGTAGTTAGAGCCTATCTAGGCCAGGCAGATACCACTCGTTGTACGCCATCAAGAGCACTTACCAGCCATGCAGCCTCAGCCGAATCAAATATTTGCCTTCATTTTTTAACTGCATCCTCTACCAAAATTCCAACGATTTTGTCCTCTCATAAGCCGAAAACGCAAGTTACAAAGTTACAATTCCAGCAAAGAAAATACACAGACAAAACATTTGTCTCTCTAAAATTATCTTAGAAATGACATTAAGAAGCAAAAGCTGCCCCGGAAGATAGGACGAATGATTCAGAGAAGGCAAAACAAAAACTGATATGGCGATCATAGTTGGCGCATATTATGAAGGAGCGCTGAGGATGGCCCTTTCCGGATGCGACTTAGTGTATGTTTACCTTGAAATTTGACGTAAGCTGGACTGATGTAACTATGACGATCACGCTCGCCAGTCCAGCGGTCAAATAAATTAACATGTGGCGTTTTTGACGGTCAACTGGGCATGGCACGAAAGACGAACCCCTCCCCCCTTCTCTGTGCGGCGTGTGAATCAGCCATTGACTCGTTGACACCTTAATGCCGTTCAATAATTTGACTTTTGTTAATTGGCCGCATGCGGGCAAAGCTCAGGTGCACTCAGAATCTCGCGCCGCCGCCAATAACAACACCTGGCTGTCGACCTGGCAAAGCAGTTGATGCCATTAGGTGCTAACTTTGCCCTCCTTATTTTTGAATGGATAAACCTACTGGGTGTCGATCATTCTTCGACAATTTGTTTATATATTCAGTCATCACGCTTGTCCGCGCTGCCTGTGGTTTTAACGTACGAACAGCATCAACGGGCACGGATCTCGTGACTCAAGTAAGTCTCCGTTACCCTCGATAAACACATTAGGAAATGCGAGAAACGGAGAGATAGGTAGAGGGAGAGAGAGAGGCAGAGTAACGTCAAAATGTTTCGAAATAGTGTTCGGTCAAGTAGGTATCTGTTCAGACCCCAGAGATTTTTGATGCTCCCTAACTGGAAGTCAAGTAAAGGTGAGTGGGTGTCCTCAGGCAAGTCTGCCGAGGCCTATAACGTAAATACACAACAAGTATGCGCATCTACGGGGGCGAAGAGACCCCGTTCATGAAGTGACAGAAAACGTTTTGTAGTATTCACAAACGATAAAAGGTGGTCACCGACGGGGCGAGGAGAGGAAACGGAGCTCTGAGCCCCTAGTCGCGCCGGTAGCCCCGTGATTTCGGGTTGACGGCCAGACCGAAGGCACAGCCAGAGAGCGGGTGCGTACGCATGACACCTATAATAGCAATCAGCGATGTGCAGAGAGAGAGAGAGAGAGAGAGAGAGAGAGAGAGAGAGAGAGAGAGAGAGAGAGAGAGAGAGAGAGAGAGAGAGAGAATATGCTCCAAGTTTAGGCATTATGCGTGTAGTGCAGGTCATTAAGGCGCACGGAAACCACCTCCGCTGTCGCGAGCATGCGAGATGGAGTTAGTTTAGTCTTGGTTAGACCATGGCGGAGAGTGGATGGCTTTCCTTTTCGAGTGATGCGGACTCGTCCAACTTGTATAATCTGCTAAGCAGAACCATGCAGTTGAAGAGATGAGATAGCATAGACCAGAGGAGACGGTTTTTTTGTGAAGGAATGAACTATGAGTGCAAATCACGCTTATCTGATCTACAAGGCATACGGGTTGAGCCGTTAACTGCAAACAACGCTCTTGGAGTCAGTTTGCCGAGTCTCCTTGGAAAGACACTCGAAGACGTTGCAGTTGGTATGTCGTGTAACTGCTGGCTGTCTGTTGGCAGGTTATGAATATTACTCGGTTATTTCGCTGTGTCTGATGGACTTTGGCCCAAATATTTATATAAATTTCAGCCTGAGCCTATAAGTCTCGAATGGACCTATTTACGCGAAGGTCTCAATTAATGTCTGAGAACTTAAGAAACTGCAATTTCAAAACTGACTTGTCTGCCAGAAAACACTCAGGGAACGGTGGGGGACCCACTGATGATCCGAACCACTCACAGCTGTCATACAGCGGCAGAATATAAGTAGTACCTGTGCTGCCAAGTAGAACAAACCGTGTAACCCGCACAAAGAAATGTTCTTTTTTTAAACGCATTCAATTCAGATTTTGCTGGTCGCTCTTCCTTTACATTTAGTAAATCCATCATAGAAAGTCTTCTTGAGGACGAGTTGCTGCTGATTTCTGGTTCGCGTCTTCATCCTCTCGACTGTTCCCTGGAAATCGCCTCTCCAAATCTATCGGTAATGAAGACAAGTTCTGTCCTTGAGCTCCAAATTTTAAGTAATGAACGGAGGTTCGCTCCGGAAAGATTGTGCAAATTCTGTCCCTGGTCTTCTCCCCTTCAACAAATTGAGCCCCGCAGTCGACTTTAGTGTTTTTTCTTGCAGGTTCAAACAGACAGGTTAGCAGGAGTTGTTTGCTTTTAGGGGAGGGCCTGTTGAGGTACTATGATTCCCAAATCAGAAACCAGGAAGGACAGATTGGGTTTGAGGTTCTGCAAGCCGTTGCCAAAAGCTGTCGTATGTCCAATTTTTTTGAAGTTTTGCTTACTTGTAGAGTGTTCCGATGCGATTGGAAAAGGTCTCGTTTGCCTAGTGAATGAATAAACTGTGGGATTTATTCATTGAAGAAGCCTACATTTTGTCAACAATTTCGACATCTTAGGTGCTTTAATTAATGATTTTGCAAACCCAAAACTGTAGATCGTGAGGTTTATTTTTGAATCCGACAATAAATTCTCCCCTTTAGATAAAAAATTGGTTCAGAATCTGAACTTGACTTCCTCCGCCTGAGAAAATGATCTCTTTTTTAAATTTACTCATATAGACTATTCTATTGCAAAGCAAAACAGCAACACGTGTAGTTACCTTGATCGTTTTTTCAGTTTTGAGGCAAATGTCATCCGTTGGGCATAAAGCGTGTGTAAAGATAGCATATCCCAATTTTTGATACGACAACCTGGTGTTCAATTACTGGTTCATTGTTGCGTAGAACGACGTGTTACGCTTCCAAAAGATAAATACGCACTTATTAAAAATAGACATTATTTTCAAGTTAATCGGGAAGTTTGACAAAATATTTCGAATTCAACCAAGACAGTTTTTGACTAGCGGTCACAGAAGTGATATATAAAGGGTAATAATGAAGACCGCTTATGTTTTGAAGTGGACAATGTCACACATTTTTTTTATTATGGACGAGCCAAAAACCCCTCTTTCAAATGCGGTTATCAGATATTGACAGGTAATATTTACTTGCCAATGAAACAGCAGATAGAAATTAATTTGACTTATGGAAAAGGCCAATAAGAAACACGAATCATGAGTGTTACTTTCGAAATACACAGGTGCGCTCTAGGCTACAAAAAGCTTTATTCCGGCTCTGATCTTCGCAATAATATGCACAATCAGGTCGATGCTTTAGTATACATCAGGCATTTTGTAATTTAGTGGCGGACCCATCGTATAGGACCCGGAAATATTGTTAATGCGATATAAAATTCTTACAGTTACTTTTATCTAGAGTGAGGTATGTAAGTTTTGCAACTTTACATAGTTCACTTCCTAAGGTACATGACGTACATATGGCTTACCAACGATCGATAATAACCATAAAAACAGCTGTCTACGTCCGGCGTGTTAGTACCTCAGCGAGTATTCTGAGCATTATTACTAGTAGTCGTCAAATATCATTATCGGCAGGCGTGCAAAATTATTTGTTCGACCGACCTCTGGTGCTTGTGGTGTCTTACTTTTATATGGTACATTTCCGATCCCATCACTGGTTACCTGTTTGCGCTAATTGTCGATGCCGTTCCCGCCTACGCACGCATACACTCTTGAAAGTGGTCTGTGATGGCAATAGTGGAAAGCTTCGACACCGACTGTGATCAGCTGTTTAGATGGGCATCAAGTACAACAAAAACTTCTGGGTCAGAGCGTCAGATGCCGATAGAATTGGCCCTTGCGTGACGAAGAGGAATGTAAACACTGTGGCAAATGTAAATACTGCACTTATACGGCCCCTGTCGATCATACGATTATGCCTGATTATCTCAAGGCAGGCGGTTTCCCTCGTCAGTCACAAGCTCGCCAAGCGTTCTTCGCGTTTGTGAACTTTATTTACTTAGGGATGCCCAAGAGCGGATTTCATGTGAGAGTTTGACTGAAGGGGCTAGGGCCTTTCACTCAGGCAGATGGTGATTGAAGCAGAGCTCATGAGGCCGAAACCAGTAGGGTTGGTTAAGCAGTCTCCCGACGCACCAGACAGGTGTGTGATCTGTTTCAGCTAACTACACCTCAGTTTGTGCCATTTGACTCTGCACTCGCCCACGAATGTGACCCAGACACCGCCTCCGCTTTGGAGACCGCCTAGCTGGCCTCTCGAAATTGCATAATGTGGGGTCATTTCTTATTCTGGGACATAGTCATACCGGGAAAAATTATTCACACAGCGCCCACCCACTGAGCACTTTTTCTTCGGAGCTTTAATGTCGAGGAAACCATTTTGACAGAGCCAAGTGTATTTAGAAATGTCGGAAGACAAGCTCAAAACTCCAAGTTACCGTACCTGGTATCCGAAGCAAGTCAAACACAACAGAACCCTGAAAGGTAGGGCGTTGGAGGAGATTACCGACAAAGACAATGAACACTGGACTAGTTATTTCCGGCTTATTAGCCGCCGCCAAACAGTAACGCCCAAATCTAAATGAAAAGATCTCACTACCTCTCTCTCGGCTAGAGATCACCCTCCCCTCAGGCAGCGTCAAAAATTTAGACGACAAAATGCGGACCAATTTAAGCAACGGGGTACATCCACAGATCACAGTATTTAAATGTAGTCTCTTTTCTTCAGTTCACACACGCCAAGCCATAGAAATATTAACCGATTTGATGACTTTATTCATAGAAATCAGGAAATATTATATGCCACTGAGTAGAATCAAGTGTTTCTTGCTAGACTCTCACAGACTTTTAGAAGACACTTGAAATTGACTAAAACCACTGCCTATTCATTTTGTAAGAATAAATGGGGACAACCATGCGGTCTGAATAAATGTTTTACTACCTGTGTATAAACGTTTTGATTATCCGTTCATATAATCTTCACTCCCTATTATTTTGGTTTAATGCCCAACACCACATTTAGTCCCAACAAAAATGATCCGGAGGTAAAAGCTTCAAGTATATGTATCCCACTTAGACAATGGTATATAACGTACTTTGGATTATCTAAAGGTGCTTTCCAATACAGCGAAGTGGGAATTCAATTTCCTCAGACTCGTTTGACCACATTTGTGACATCTGACGCTGGTGAATTTGCATAGAAACATGCTCGCATTTTTATGATAATTTTACGTCGGTTGTCCTTCTTGAGGAAGGAGACACGATCGTTGGGACAAGAGCTTTATTAGCCTGACGATTCGGAATCCTACTCGAATCCATCATCAGAGGCAAAAGCAGATAAGTGTGGTTCATGCATAAGGGGCTGCAGTATTTATAGGATCCTGTCGCCATGCTACCGCATACCGATGAATATACACGGCTTCCCCCTTCATCAGGGATCGTTGTACGTGGTGTGATGATTGTTGGATGGTCGACGTTTGCGTCGTTAATTGTTGCAATTTCATCACGTGTGTTGGATGTTGGTGTGATGATTGCTCGACCATCTGACCCGCTGACCATGGTGTTAGAAAAAGTGTTCCCTTGTGCGCACCCTGCGTGGCTAATTACTCCGCCTAGGTGATGTCTCAGTACCGAGTGTGTAATAGGAAGATTATCGCATTCGTTAATTGACTGGGGGCCAGTAAACCATGACTCAAGCAGCTCCCGGCTCACGCGCTTGTCACCTCTAGCGAGAATTTTGGCCTCGTCAAATTTAAATGTGTGGCAAGATCTCGTCGAATGAGCCGCAACTTGAGAGCTAGCGTCATTTCTCCGCACCGCTGCAGCGTGCTCGTCATTCGCGTTCGGAGCTGTCTTCTGGTTTCTCCGACGTAGTTGCTTTGTCCGCAACTTCACTAGATTCGATAAACGACTTCAGACGTTTCTAGCCGCGACAGTGGGTCTTTCGGTTTCATTACCTGACGCCTGATGGTTGCCTCCGGTCTACGTGCAACTCCAACCCCAAGTGGTGTGAGAAGGCGGCCGACAGCTTCCGAAATGTTCTTGACATATGGGAGCGCTCTGCAAAATTTGGTGTCCATGCGATTAAGTCTTTCGTTCCTTTTGCGAACGCACTGGTTGACGATGTTGTGCGAGTAGCCATTGGCTTTGAAGACCCGTCGGAGTTATTGTAGTTCAGCAATTTTGTCTTCCGGCTCACTGCAGTGCGTTTCGACACGCCGGTACAGCGTCTTTACACAAATGCGTTTGTTGATGACCGGGTGGTTGGTGTTTAAGTTCAGTACTTGCACCATACTTATTGTTTTCCTGAACACTTTGGTCTTTAGTTCACCATAATCTTTGCGGCATACGAGGACATCCAGGAAGGCCAGCTGGTTGTTCTCTTCCTCCTCCATCGTAACTTGTATGTCTGGGAAGACCGCATTTAGATGCTTGAATGTCAGCAGTTGATCCCGTTCAATAACGACGAAGGTATCATCCACATACCGGACTCAGAAGTTCGGTCTGTGGTGTTGGAAGACCAGTGACCCTAACTGTTGCAGGACCGCCTCGGCGATAAATCCCGAAGTCGGCGAACCCATTGGTGTTCCTTTCACGTGTTCGTATATTGTTTCGTCAAACGTGAGGTACGTCCTGAGACAGAACTTCAGGAGCTGAAGGATTTGGGCGTGTCCAAGACGGTTCTCCGTTTCATCGTATTTGCTTTGTAGTAACAGTTCAATTGTCTCGATCGCCAGGTCCTGGGGAATAGAAGTAAAAAGGGATGTAACATCAAAAGATACCATGACCTCATTTGGATAGATGCTTACCCCTTTGAGTTTCTCCAGGAATTGTGCTGACTAAGAGACCGTGGTGTCTAACTCAGCGGTCAGGAACTTGAGACACCGAAACAGCCACTTGGCCAGTCCGCACGCTGGAGTCCCTTTGAGCGACACGATGGGCCGGGGAGGAGCGCCGTCTTTGTGCACCTTAGGGAGGTTATAGAATCGGGCCAAAGCCGTATCTTGGGGTCTCGCCATGCGCCTGTCGGTCGTTGTTATTGCACCTGATTCTCCAAGGCCAACACCGTAACATTACTTTCGCGTGTCAGCGCTTTTAAAGGGTTCGTTGCACATGGGACATAGAACTGTCGGTCCTCCAGTAAACCTTTGGCGTTTTGAAGGTAATATGTTCTGTCCAGCACAACCGTGGAGCGCCCCTTGTCCGCTGGCACGATGACCAAGTCTTTGTCGGCCTTGAGTTCTCTAAGCGCATCACGTTCGACCTTGGAAAGCACTTCCCGCGGCCTGTGGGCCATCAGGAGAGACGACACTTGGTGTCGGATGAGGCTCTTGGTCTCCTCCCTTGCCTCTGTCTGACCAAGGATTGATTCCACTGCTGCAATCATGTTAACAGATTTGGCGTCAGTCGTGTTGAATGAAGCTTTGTGCCTTAAAACCTGCATCTGATCCTTCGTTAGCTCCTTTGACGACAGGTTGCGCACCAGTTTGTCGTTTCTGGGCGACGTTGGATTGGGTAGCTTTCGGAATTTGTTCTCCAATGCTGCGTCGCGTATCATTCTCCGTTCGCGGGCTTGTTCAGCTATCCTCTGCAGGAGCAGATTTGTACCGATCTCACCCATGAACTCACAGCATCTGGTCTTTTCCTGGTCAATCATTTGAAGGTACTTGCGAAGTCTCGCGTGGCAATCTTGGAGGAGCACTCGGATCATCCTTCTGCCATGTTGAAATACTGCTCGTCTCGCCAAATCTGTGTTAACCGGAGGCTTGTATGAAGC